TTTAAATTATAATTATTTAGAAATACTTCAAAATAATCAATCTATGTTTGCTCGAGTGCTTTTTGTTATTAGGAACGAGCATATTTGATTGTACTACATGAGTGAAGTAGTACGCGAGATAAGAGCGATTGAAATGTTTGCTAACGAGAGTATAATGACGGTACTGATGGTGATAACGCGTATTTATAGGGAGAATAATATGGAGGTATGCTATTGCGGGCACAAGAGAGACTAAATAATATGTGATTTATATATTTGTAATAATGGCATATGTGTGCCTTTAGAAGAACGAATGTGTAACAGGTCAACAACAATAAAAGATTTTTACTCAAGATACGTACAGGATGTCCTAGAAAAATCTCATTTTTATTTTAATAATAATAAATACTTTGACAAATTTATGCGATCGATCTGCGAAGCGTAGATAATTTACTAATTGTAAGATTGTTAATTTGGCCATATTTAACAAGAAATGTTGTAAAAGGCTTTTTTAAGTCAAATGTCCACCCGCGCTGAGAGGCGCTTTAACAATTTACACGAGAGATTTTAAGCGTCAACCGGAGAGCTCTTATAGAATCTTGCCCGATTCATCCTATTACCGGGCTGTACGCTCGACCTATCCCGGGTAAAGGGAGCTATTCTCCCTGTGCCTTTATGTACTTACCTGCGCTTATACTGCGGAAACGGAAACGGAGGGAGGCAAGAGTGGGTGGCTATAATTAGCCGAGAAGAACGTGGGAACCACTTGCGCGCGCCGGTCACTTTCTCTCTCTTTCTTTCTTTCTCTCTCTTTCTCTTCTTTTCTTTCTTCTTCATTCTCTTACAAGTTCATATCCATGAGCCAGTTTCCAGATAAATATCTAAACGCACCCGAATCTCTCCCGGCTAATCGCGAAATTGCACCGTTGCACATGCTTTGTTTACACGAATACTTTCACGCTAATGCATTTTTTAAATGTCGGATTCTTTGATGACAATGTGAGATATTTTTTCTGCAAATATGAAATTGCCGTGTTTGTTTCAGTTTCCAATATCCCGATAATTGAATTTTAAATTAAATTTCTGCTAAAGTTGATGAGATTGACAAAAACAAATTCTGTAGAATTAATTTTTTATGAAAGAGAGACAAAAGTTTGATGTTATTTAAAAAACATTGGTAATTGTAATATCGGAAACAATCGAATAAGTAAAATGTCAAAAAACACGAATTTGTGTCTAACAATAGGTACGAATTTTACGAGTTGAATTTGATTTGCTTCCGTGTGCCGCAGTATATAGCAATTATCACCGCAATATATATGCAATTAGCAATTAGATAGGAAAAGATTCTTCGATATGCGAGCGTCATTCATTAAAAATAACGATCAAAATTCAAAGCTTGTGGCATGAACATGAGCCGACATTAAATCCGGTGATTAAAAAAAAATTAAACATTGAGCTTATAACAGGAGCGTCTTTTCACCCACGACCAACGTTAATTACTGTCGGAAATTAATAACGCGAGGCATGTTTACCTGGGCGAGATATCGCAGCTCTGTTGCATAAACGCCGCCAGAGCAAACCAGAGGCTATTTACGATACTGAAGTCGTTGGCCATGCTGGAAGTTGGCATGTGGGGTGAACCTTGCGGCGTATGCGGATGTTGCAAACTGGGATCGTTTCGTCCGCTAATAGCTGAATCTGTACTACCGCTAATAGTGAGGACTCTCCACTCGTACGGCGAAAACCTATATTATTAAAAATGGAGAAAAAATGAGAGAGAGAGTCGTTAGAGGAAATCATTAATTAAAAATATTTAAACGACGTTGAAGATGTCTAAAAGGTCAAAGTTCCTTAGAAATTTTCTAGCCATATTTTGGAATATATAGATAAATTATATATTATTATATATATTATATATAATACATACACACACACACACATATTTCTCTATACTGAGTATATAGTTATTGAAAAATGTGTGACTGTCGTCATTAGTTAAAATGTAATGTTGGTATTCTATATAAAACCGGTGAGATTGCGTGTTCTAATTGATCACGTGAATAAATAAATTGTTTTACAACAGTATGCAACAGACGGTTGTTTGCCAATGTTAATAAGTCATAAGAATTGCTCATAATTATGACGCAAGATAATACAATCATATCTTTTTTTTCTCAAGTAATATCACGCGCGTCGTATGCATCAGCAAATCGTACCAAGTCTTAAACGTTGGCGTTCAAAAAGTCTCATTAATTAAGAAGCTACCTAAAAACTTTTTCGGCTTGCTCATTATGCCTTCGTTAAAGCGATCGAGAGCTCTTGCAAACGTTCCGTCGAGACTTCCTCTATATCAATGCAAAAGTAACGAGCAACTTAGAACATACAATTTTTTTTTATTTTTATGCATTAATATTTGATAGCGACTTTTCATCGGGACGGTTCCGTTCGATCGCGATTGTGTAAGATAATAGACATAAATAGCGTAGCATAAAAGAGCGCAACGAGAACATATTACGACGTGTCGACATATTTTGCCGGCCACATCGCGATAAATTCATCTGTAATTGCCGCACCTTGACACGTAATTGTGGCAGTAAGCACAAGGTCTATACAGTTAGCATAAAAGTGGATGGATTCTCTTTGTGACTCTAATTAATGTCATTAATGCGAATTGACATTAATTCGCTTAATGGTACAACGAGAAATGCATTAGCTCATTTTTCCAAAATTAGTTTAGCTGTAACTATAGAATTAAAGTGATCTAATAAAACATGTTTCGACGATCATTAACGTTGTTTACCTGGGCGAGATATCGCAGCTCTGTTGCATAAACGCCGCCAGAGCAAACCAGAGGCTATTTACGATACTGAAGTCGTTGGCCATGCTGGAAGTTGGCATGTGGGGTGAACCTTGCGGCGTATGCGGATGTTGCAAACTGGGATCGTTTCGTCCGCTAATAGCTGAATCTGTACTACCGCTAATAGTGAGGACTCTCCACTCGTACGGCGAAAACCTATATTATTAAAAATGGAGAAAAAATGAGAGAGAGAGTCGTTAGAGGAAATCATTAATTAAAAATATTTAAACGACGTTGAAGATGTCTAAAAGGTCAAAGTTCCTTAGAAATTTTCTAGCCATATTTTGGAATATATAGATAAATTATATATTATTATATATATTATATATAATACATACACACACACACACATATTTCTCTATACTGAGTATATAGTTATTGAAAAATGTGTGACTGTCGTCATTAGTTAAAATGTAATGTTGGTATTCTATATAAAACCGGTGAGATTGCGTGTTCTAATTGATCACGTGAATAAATAAATTGTTTTACAACAGTATGCAACAGACGGTTGTTTGCCAATGTTAATAAGTCATAAGAATTGCTCATAATTATGACGCAAGATAATACAATCATATCTTTTTTTTCTCAAGTAATATCACGCGCGTCGTATGCATCAGCAAATCGTACCAAGTCTTAAACGTTGGCGTTCAAAAAGTCTCATTAATTAAGAAGCTACCTAAAAACTTTTTCGGCTTGCTCATTATGCCTTCGTTAAAGCGATCGAGAGCTCTTGCAAACGTTCCGTCGAGACTTCCTCTATATCAATGCAAAAGTAACGAGCAACTTAGAACATACATTTTTTTTTTTATTTTTATGCATTAATATTTGATAGCGACTTTTCATCGGGACGGTTCCGTTCGATCGCGATTGTGTAAGATAATAGACATAAATAGCGTAGCATAAAAGAGCGCAACGAGAACATATTACGACGTGTCGACATATTTTGCCGGCCACATCGCGATAAATTCATCTGTAATTGCCGCACCTTGACACGTAATTGTGGCAGTAAGCACAAGGTCTATACAGTTAGCATAAAAGTGGATGGATTCTCTTTGTGACTCTAATTAATGTCATTAATGCGAATTGACATTAATTCGCTTAATGGTACAACGAGAAATGCATTAGCTCATTTTTCCAAAATTAGTTTAGCTGTAACTATAGAATTAAAGTGATCTAATAAAACATGTTTCGACGATCATTAACGTAAAAAAAAAAAAAAGATAAGTATTGCATGTTGATTCGCGTTATTATATTTAATTTAAGAATGTACTTTAACTGTATATTGCTTGTAAGAAAATTATAAGTCTCTCGATAAAAAGTTTCTTACCTCGACACAATAAACAGGACGATAGAAACTGCGATGTAGGAAAAAATGACGCACACCCAGATCTCCTTGCTCAGCGGATTCAGAAAACTGAAGACACCGGATTTTTGTTTGATGGGTTTTTTTATCATAATGCTGATGCCGAGAGACATAAACGGTTTACTAAAATCGATCACGCGTTCCCGTTCAGAGGTGATAGTTATGGGAGCAATCGCTATGTCGGCTTCCTGCAAATCAAGTAGAATAACCGATATAAATATTAGCATGCGAAGGTAAAAAGACATTAATTTTTAAACAATTCAATTTAAAAATTCGATAAATTATAATAAACGTTGATTTAAAAATGAACTTTAAGCAGATTTGAATTATTTTTTTTTAAAAGCTGAGTATTTTATATGTCAATAATTAAATATGATAATATATATATTTCTGCAGCACATTTTATTACGATAATTGCGTGTAATATGTGATTAATAGGTATCTTAATTCTGTAATATTTTTATTCTTTAATTATTATATTTATGATTGTGTAGCTATTTAAATTATATAAATAAAAGAGAAATTAGTATTGTATATTTTAAAAATTCTATGTTTTATGATACATTTCTCAACTCCATTATCTTTTTCTTACTGTTTCAAATATCTTCAAAATGGCAGAAGCTCGCGTACCTACATGAGATGCAACTAAAAGCTCGGTTGCTTTAGGCTTATCCAAAGTTCTCACGAGATGGAGCTTAAAATCGGTTAACGATTGACGAGCTTGCAAGCTCAGGGCATCTAGTGGAATAGGTTCAAACTCGCTATCAAAAGATAAAACAGCTTCTTGGTAGACCATCTCGACTGCAACCGCGCGCGGCGATCAATATTCTCCTCTTGTGAGAAGCTGGGTTCAATCACTTGAGGCGTCTTTCCGCGTAAACTTCCGGGGGCAACCGGTTTCGGGAGAGGAAAAAGCGCTTCGCGTTGAGGATGTGGCAGATACAACGAAATTACCGGAACTTACCTTTCTGATAAGCTCCCCGACCATGCCGTCCCAGCCGCCCGGGACGTCCGGGTTTTCCGTGCCGTATTTTCCGTCCTTCACGATCCGCAGCTCGTCTGAAAATTCGTAAGAAAGTACTTTACGAGGCGCGCGAAACACCATTTCTTTCGCGGAACTTTTTCCATTATCGATTCCGCGCGCGGAAGAGGCTTCGTTACGTCTTTTAGGTACTTGTCAAGGTGGGGTTGACTTCGGCAAATTTTGACCATAATAAAAGTAATTCTTTTGCTTGAATTATGAATTCTTGTAGGAGTTAAATGAGAATCGCTAGCGTTAATAATTAAAAATTACTTGAACGCAGGCGTACAATATTCAAATAAAAACTGCAGTTCTTTCCTCCTTTATCATTATTTTAGTGTACCATATTAAATTTCAATAGATATTAAACAAATTCCAAAAAGATAAATTATATTTTTTATTAATTGGTTATTTAATTTTGCAATAATACAATAATTAAATTGTTCGCTTTGATGTTATAAATATTATATGTATTGAATTTTTATAGTTTGCATATATAAATTTAATTTAAACTTTATGATTTTTTATAAATATTTAATTACCATTAATTATTCTTATGTGTTAATGTATTAATGTACTTTTTAAAAGAAGCAATATCTTTTACGCGGGGACAATTATTTGCTATTATAAACTTACATGATATGCCTAATTTTTTGGCGATGAGATCAGCCAAGTCTTTACAATATCCTTCATAATTATCATTTCCAACTAATACTTCACCCGTATCCGACATTTTCTTCATTATGTAAGGCTCGTCCTATACAATCAAAATTATAATATTAATATTATACAGTTAATCTTAATCATGCACGAATTAATTAAAAACATCATTTTTTATGAGACTTACCATTATCGTAGTAACGATGTAAGTTTTATTCTTCTCAACTTCATGCGGACGAAGACGCACATATTTTGCGGCTATGGCTTGAAAACCAGCTTCATCGGTCCACTCGGCGACCTACAACAATAAATCATGTTGCAGTTCTCTTAATGTGAATCTGTTGGAATAGATATTGCGAGTTTGCATAAGAAGAGAATTTCAGATATAACAAAGAAGTACGATAGAAACTATATTATACAGATGTTTGTTTGTGGAAAACAATAGCTTAATTGAAACAAGTTATTTAAAAAAGTTATTTGCATCAAACATTTTTGAATTACGGATATACATAGATATTTTATTTTGTGAATGTGTCTATGTATACATATATAACATCAAATAGTTATTCACATATATTTTTTATGAAATATAAAGACTCACTTTCACCATAGCGCTATTGACAGTCATCTCGACGACATGAAGCGTATAATTCTGCCGTCGGCCATCGTCGTTGAATCGTATCTCTCCTGTCAGCCCTTCAATCTCAACCTGCAAGTAAATAAATTTTAATCGCGTATTTCCTATATTTATATATAATTGTAATAATAAATATTATGATGTATATTTAGTCGTTATTACATATTTTTACGAGAATAAAAGAAAAAATGTAAAATATATTACAGATAAAAAATAATATAGATCATCACACATAATATGCCTTTAGTGACAAAAATTTTAGCAAAATATATTATAAAAATATATTTTGCAATAATTAATAAACAATAAATATAAAAATAAATACACTTTTCTGTATTAATGTTAATAATTAGTTTATGAAAATAATAAGCAAAATATTTCCAATTAAATTATCGTTTAATAAAGAAATTTAAAAGCATGGAGAATATTATTTAAATGAAACCCAAAATAACATTTATTAGAATTTATTGGAAAAAATCGTGTTGACTATAACTTTTTTATTATATTTTTTGTTGTCAACGAATTTAACATTGACATGACAAATTGTTAAACGGTAGTTGAATAAAAAGCAAAAAATAGGATACAAGAATAACGACATGTATATGTAAGGGCGGAATGACGGAGGACTATTTGACGCGAACGCAGGAATTCCGTTAGAGTCGGAATAACCGCCAATTACTGTCAAGAGCAGAGATACGTGGAGGAGGGTCCCTGGCAATTTCGGTCGCCACGGTATTTCGCAACATATTGAGTACCCCTGTCCTCTGAATCGCATCTCGGGAATTTAAAAACAAATTATGTACGCACGATTGTGCGTATATTATCACGTTCGCGTATTATTAAAATATAAATTCTGATAACACAGTATTGTGTTATATAATAATACGTGACCATATCGAATCAAAAGTCGAAAGTAGAAATTCAAAATTTAGCACGCAGAAATTAATGCTAAATCGCGTATTTATTTAATTCAATGTGTAATGGATTATAGTGGGTAATTCGTCAAGCTAAAGATAGAATTATAGGAAAAATTATAAAAAATTATATGAATAGTGAATTATTATATGTATATATTTATTTATACATACCTATATTTAAATTTAATTGACAATAATCATGAAAATGTCGTGTGAATATCATTGTGTTCTTATTAACAAAATTGATTTACCTTTCTCAAAAATTTCGAGATTTTGTCGCCATATTCCCACGGAGTGACCCAGCCGCGATTGTTGTAGCAATCTAAAGCTTTTGTTCCGTTTATGGGCTGATTACTGCTCGGAGTTCCTATACGTCGTGTATTACTTTTGTCGGTTCTCTTTCTCAAAAACTTGTTGAAGGCTTCAACCAAGACGAACACGGCGTCATACATCAGAGCGGCTTGTGCCTAATTTTGACACATGTACAATAAATTACTTTGGACAGAATCTATATATAAGTGTATCGATTTTCACACACAAAGTTGGAGAAAGAAAGAAAAAAATAGGAAACAAACTTTCTCTTCAACTTTCTCTCTCTCTCTCTCTCTCTCTCTCTCTCTCTCTCTCTCTCTCTCTCTCTCTTTCTTTTCTTGTCGTTTACCGTAATGTATTGATTTTCGAAAACAGAAAACGGAAAAAGAATTGCGGGAGAAAATTTTTTGAATCTTTACCTCTCATGCATAGAATCTCGTTCTCCGATAGGATCAAGAATTTGGTGAGATCGAGAAAGGGATTCATCGTTACGTTGAGATGTACGTAAATTTGCGGAGACTAGAGTACCTCGGGCACTTCGCCAGTGTTGGAAAACCGCGCTCGGTGCTCGCTGAATATAACGATCGAGCACGATAATCGTTGCATTAGATTGCATGCAGCCTGTCTCCCAGAGAGCTTTTAGATCCATAGATACTACGCTACCCAACCTTACCCCGAAATCCCGTTAGCAGTATGTATCCGTGTTAAGGATTATAGACGACCCTTTTTGTAATACAGCAAAAATCGTGCAAAATAATCAAATATATTTCTCAATACTGCGATTTCGCGAAGCTAGAAAGAAGAAAGAAAAAAGAAAAAAGAAAAAAACATGCAATAATCATGATTGTTAATTTATATTAACGCATACATTTCGCTTGATAATAAAATGAACAAGATCTTCCTCTTTTCTTGAGAAAAATTAAATCAAGGCGTTGTTTAGTTACAGTTATAGTTTACATCTCGATCCGAGTAATTGCGACAATATTTCTTAATGATAAAATATAAAAGAATTGTATTTCTACAGTGTTTTATTCCAATTAATTTGGTCGATCTAATGATTATCGTGAGACGAAAAAGTGTTTCGTACAAGACGTGTGATCGTATGTACTAGAGAGTTGTGTCGCCGCGCACCGTTAAACACTGGTTACTTTTTGTTGGATCTATACAAGAACCTCTAGGAAAAAAATGTTAACGCGCGGACGGAAGAAGAGTCATTAAGAGAAACGTGAAACACGGTTCGCGCGGTACGGTCGAGCGAGCGGCACTTTATAAACGGGCTGAAAAGTTCAAGTTTCTACATGCGGGTGCAGTTTAACAAGTTTGGTCTCAAGCCGCTGTACATAAACAGAAACACGCGAACGAGAGAGAAAGAACGCGCGCGCTAACGGACCATACGACGATTCTTGTTTGATTCTAGTTCCTCGTATGAGGAACTTGCCGACGACGGATACTCGAGGACGAGGAAGAAACCTGAGAAAGTATTCGATCCACCGGGAGAAAATCGCTGCACTCGAGGAGCGAGGATTTTGCACGGAGCCACAGTTTTCTCCCTGGACGCAAACTGTGGAAGTGGCGAGAAGCCGACGTCGGCGGAGGACAGACGTGAGAAAAAAGAACGATGGAGTCTCATAGGAGAGATGCTGGATATCTACCGTAGATATATATATATATATACGTACGGAAATGGATTCACGACCGGCTTGAGATATGGCGGGGTCGTGGCGATGCCAGCCGGCCAGGAAGTCCTTGACGTGAGGTCGAGTGACATCCACGATGCGAAATCCCGTGATGTTGATGGCGCCGAACTCGATGACCTCGCTCTCCCATCGGTCGTCCATTATCTGATTACAACGAAACACACGGGATATTGATATATGAAGGAAATGCGAAGGAGAGTGTGTGTTGGAGTCTGTTAGATGCGCAAATGCGTATTCTCGCTCGCTTGCGTGATAAAAGGTTGTTATCTTACTCCTTTCCGCCCTCGACGCTCTAAGGAGACGGTATATAGCTTCGCGAAAAGCATCCGCGCAACAACGAGGTCCTTGATCTTTCGTCGTATCTTCAAAGTCGACTCGAGAACAGGCACTCGAGTCACAGTTATATTATTACGGCGCGTTATTACCGCGTTTCCTTTGTTCCTTATGAAAAACTTAATGGGACTGAGATGTCTCGATTCCAATTCGGATATGCCGTCGTATTTAATTACTCGAGCTCGAATGCAGCTCTCGCTTTAGTTTTACGCTGATATTGCGTTGTTACGTGGCGCATTATGCGCGACGCGCGAAACCTCGAAATAGTGAAAAGCTCGCCGTTCGCGTTAACGCGCGGTAGTTCTTTTGAACGAGGTGAGAAGGCAAGAGGTGAAGGAAAATTGATACGTCTACGTTTCGCCGTCGTAAGCGCGCATTACGCTTGAAAAATAATAAGTCCAATTAAAATTGAGATTACTTATTTTCGCGATCGTTAAACTAACGATCATATTATGGAAAACAAGAAGAGATTTCGTTCGAGGGTGCCGGAAACGGCAGTAGTATGATATCGAAAAGGAAGCTTTTGCAAACACTCGTAACAAACGACAATAGCGTTTCGTTCGCAAAATTGAATCAATAATATTCGATATCTGATTATATACGGATGTTATTATTAGACCTCGGATCTCTCTTTCCCAGCTACGGCTGATCCGTTCGCTACTTTAACTACTGCGCGGCCATCTACCATCATCCATCAAGCGACTGGAGATAATACATGGCCGCTATGTTAATGTTATATGCGTGTTTAACTTCGTCGCGAATGAGTTTGGCGTGTTACCAGTTTAATTTGTCGGTCTGATATCACCGCGTCTGCCGCGTTGACTTTTGAACTTTTGCATCTGCGGTTAGGGAGCGGATAAAGTTTTGTAATATCCAGCTTCCCTAGTTGTTGAACAACTATTAGCCTTAAAAATTCGAGCTTAAAATATTGAAAAAATAAATACCATGGAGATGAAATTTATAAAAGATAGATAAATATATGTTTAATTAAATTGAAATGTAATATGATAAGCTTTTAAGAAATATTTGTGTTTTAACTGTGTTTGTAACTAACAAATTTAAAAAATCGAAGAATTGTAATTTTATCTTGCATTAAACATAGCTTTCTTATTTTATCTAAGTAAAAGACTAGAATTTTGTGGATTCATAAATAGAGATTTACATATGAAAGGCGATATTAGGAGCTAGTTAAGACGTCGTCAGCAATCGTCTTAGTCGTTGAATCGTGAAGTCGATGGACGTGAAAGAGAGGAGGAAGTAAGAGGCAAAGGATGAGAATTGCGGAAAGCGGGAAAATGTGCGAATCGACACGTCTACGCCTTGCTGGCGCTAAGCAACCGTTTCTAGAACGACGCGATAAATGACAATGGTGATGCCTCGTAGAGAACGGAACACTAGAGATGTACATGCAGGTATATGTACAACTATCTTCGCCGTCGTCGGAGTGTAATGCCGCCTGTTCTTCTGCAGCAACTCGCTGGAAGCCGCTAAACACAAGCAAACTGTCCTCTAAATTCTAAAGTACGGAGGAGACATCACCGACGAAGATCTTGCCCTCCTACGACGGGAGCGTTTCGTGTCAGTTTGAGCGACGGGTTCTCGGTTGTTTCGAATATTTCGGCATGCTGCGAATTAATCCCGTACACCAGACGGTGTACAAGTGAGAGCACTTTCGCGTAGTAAAGCGAAAGTCACTATTTTGCATACCGAATATTCTCCGAGCTGGAGAATAAAAATTACCGATTTTTAAATAAAAAAGAAAAATTTTATTTATATTACACATATCATGTGTGTAATAAAAAAGCTTTTTATTTATTTTAAGTAATTTTAAACTTAAATTATTGCCTATGAAATATCCAATTTCCAATATTTTTCTTCTTTTTCTTTACGATGTAATTACATCAAATATAAAGCATTTTTTATTCGACATTTAATTTTGTTAATAGTTGTTTTTATGTATTTGAGACGTAAATATATAATTTAGGGATACTATTTGATGCGAGCGATCGCTCTTGATCCGAAAAATTTCGTTCGGGACTTGGATATAATAGGACTTAGAAAAATTAAATATAAAAGATAGTTTTATTTCACAACTTACCAAGCCACTCAGCAGATAATGATACGTCCTTTTTCCCAAAGCTATATCCCTTACATGGCTCACAACAATATCCTTCGCCATATCTGTCGGACAGTCGAGCACGACGTATTTGTTACTCCATCTAAAAAAATTTTAACATGTTCGAGATGAATTATTTGGAATGACGAGAAAAAATTTATGCGCGATATTGAGTTTTCCAACGGAAAAGGGATATAAGTCACGCGCGCTGGTTCACCACAATTCACATGTCGCGTTAACGTGCGGCTTTGTCGCATTTGATCGATGCACCGCGAAGTTTCCATGCTCATTTCGTTTGCAATAATTGGATATTGTATGGCAATTTGTAATAATGCTGTTGTTTTCGGCAACTACTACTATACTCGGTCGATTCAAACTACCGTCATGGCAATTACTCGCTGTTGTTGATTACTTGCATCGCACGAATGCGTAGCCGCTGGTGAATTGTTAGTGCCAAGTTGCACGGCAACTCGCGCTATGACCAACCTTATTCGTCACATTGTCGGTATGCTATTTGCAGGAAAATAACAATTGTTGTCAGAGCATAGATATAAGATTGGTATTTCAACTGCATTCTCTTTTATTCTCACAGAAAGAAGACGTGAGAAAACTTGAAATTTGTTTTGCGATCCAAGATATATGTATTGTAATCAAATATATATATATATCATGCAAAAAAAATTTTTTTTAGTTATTATAATACAATACATATATACTATTATTACACACATTTTTTGTGAGTGTAATGTAATTTTAAAATATAAAATAAACTTTTGTAAGTATAAGATATAATAATGATATGTCGTATATGACATTATTTGATAAGAAACTTTTAATTGCGTTTATAATATCTGATAAAGGATTATGTCAAAATGTACATTTGGAGCATATGTTACGTACAACCATAAGGAGAACTTATTATTAAGATATATAACTAGGTACATCAAGTACTGATTCCGGAATGTTCTTAGTAAAGGGCTTCATATTTCTTTTACATGTGTGTGTTATATATATATATATTTCAGCGAGAGAGTACTCACCGGTTAAGTTCCTCAAGACTCCGTAGAAAATCAATCGCCTCTGACATATTCTGTATTCTCTTGACGGTTTCGACTTGAAAGGACTCGTTGCCTGGTTTCAAGCCCTGATAAATTTGCTGCAGCCTGAGCAGTCCTGAAACCCACGAGCGTTTAATTAAATTATAGGAAACGCTTATATGCTCGTCCCGCGCTACATGGGTTCGACATAGGCTCGGGTTACCACTCGCCGATGTGTGCGTCTTCCGAAAATTACATACGCACGATTGCGCGTTACATAGACCATGTCGTAATTCATTGGCAGTCTCTGTTCAGTCTGCGGTTTCTCGCGCAGTGTGAAATATCGCCTGTCTACAGGCTGCGTCTCTAAGTTATAGAGAGTGCCCCGTAGATCGTTCGATTTGACCCGCCTCGTATTTTTGGCAATGACAAAATTTAATCGGCGCCGCAGTTATGCGTATGTGACTTGTTGTTACTACGATGTCAAAATTGTGATGCATTCTCCAGAATAGGGAGATTTGGTTTTATATTTCTACGAATATGGATGTTCGATATATATACTTGTATGTATTATACATACTTCTATGTAGCATTATTATTCCGTTTTAAATTATAAAAGTGTAATATAATAATATAATATGAGAATGAGCTAAAAAACACAAAAATAAGAAAGTCACAATATTCATGTCTTATAAAAGAAATAGTCCATTGTTCTTTTTGAACAGTCCTTAAGAAATTGGTTTTCAAGTAGCTATGATATTTCTGGTAATTGTCTTTCTCTCTCATTTTCCGTTTCTTCACGTCGGTTTAATCTTCGTGCTACTTGAAAAATACATTGCATAGAAAATTGAAACATAATAGTCGCTTAAAATATATCGCTTCAAATATCTTTTTATATGTATAAAATATAGTTGCGTGTGAAAACTAGAGAATATCTCTTCATAAATTGCTAAATCCGTAGATAGATTTTCATGGATTCTCACAGTCTTTATAGATTCTCAAATATATATATTTACAGATCCATAAACACGTATAATCATACGAATATATGCGTATTGCACGCCCACTGTTTCTGGCAAATATACAGAACTGTTCGAATTATATGCAGTACGTTATCGTGAGATACGATCAAATATCAGTAGATGCTCACGCGCATGCTGCGAGGCACAACGGGAACGAGCAGAGTTCACGGGGCTAGATTCTGATCGGACATCTCGTAAATTCGGAGGAATCTACGGCATGATCTGTTACAAAATAGAGGAGCGCTATTTTAGTCGCCCTCATCCCGAAACCGCGCGCCAACGCGTTTTAACCGCCTATCCTTCGGGCACACACACTTCTGGGCCATTTGCCCCAGGATAACAATGCGCTCGAACCCTCGCACTCGTCGTTACTTTTACGATCGCGATTACTCGGCGCGTAAGTTACGATTGCGTATTGCACGTTGTAGACGCGCGATGAGTTATGGCGTAAAGAATTTTTCCTCGCGGTTCCGCGATGAAAACATCGGCAACCAGGAAAATACCAGCGGGAAGAAAGATTGGCAAGATTGCGGAACGATGCTTCCGAACATCACGACGGAATCTCGAAAAAGAATAACTATACGAAGGAAGAGAGAGCTTTTACACCAGAGAGAAATATGTAAAGAGCTGGGTTCCGCGATTCTTAAATGCGTTTCTTAACATTCCTCGGTGAGCGATATCTACTTCGTGAAAAAAAAAACTTGGCATGCATACAACACATAATTGTAACATTTATAATAGGTGTATATATATTTGTCCAAAATATATATAAAAATTGCAAAAATTTTTAATACAGGAACAATTTTATACGTGAAAGAGTCAGAAATTAAAATTTATTTTTGAAAAATATTTTATACTATATGTTTTAAATTGCGTGTTGAAATATATTATATAGAAAAAAGAAAACTCTTTTTGGCTGTAAATTTTTTGATATTATTAATATTATTATTATTTTATCAATTAATTAACTTATTTTTATATTTTAAAAGATTTCTCTCTCTCTCTCTCTCTTCAAAATTAAATAAAAATATTTGCTTCTGTAATTAAAAAAAACCATGATAAGCAAGAAAACGAAAAGTAATAACGTAGGTTAATGAGAAGCCGGATGCAGAAAACATGGTACGCGTAAAACGTGTATATCTCGTATTGCTATATATTTTCTCCGCCGTCAGGCAGGAGAAAGATCTGGTTAACGAGCGCGAATTTAAAACTACAAGCGTACATATATGTTCGTTCGAGCGTTGCAAAAGAACTTGACATTTCGATGAGTACCATTGCTTTCTCAGGAATACCATTTCCACTTCAATTCCAAACCTTTCATCGCATTTTTCTTTCAGCAATGGCTCTGGCACGGTCACCGACATTTAGCTCAAAAATCACTTTTTTTCCACTGACTGCTCTATATTTGAGTTGTCAATAAATAGTTTAAGAAACGAAAGAATATGAATCAGCGCAAAACATGCCCTTATCATTTATAAATTAAATATTGATTGAAAAGCATTTGTAGAGCATAAAAATAAAATTCTCAAAAATAATATACTAAATTAATTGTTCTGTTATACATGATACTACATAATTTATTCCTGATAACGTCATGGTCAATTATTTCTCTTTGGATTTTCTAAAACAGAGAGAAATTTCTAATGGAGAGACGAAGCAAAAATGATTCAGCGATGTCAGAATTTGATTGCACCAGATTAACATGACAAGCTGTCGCGATGGATTTGCGTCGAGCGTACGATATGCCGTGCTGACGTAACGGAGAGAATTTTTAATTACGCGAATTTACATTTTCTTGTCAAACTTTAATATCAGATTTCTTTGCATCGTAGCAAAGTTTATCGACGAACACACAATTTATCTGTACGTATACCGGAAACTCATATAAACTACCTCGTTACTCGGCGTGTTTCAAACACTGTGTGCAAGCCGTGTATATGATCCCTTTAGCTGTTACACTCGACTCCTAGCAAGTACAAGAGACGACGGTAATCGTGAGGCTGGCTTTGAAGCCCCGATGCTCGTTTGTAAAGCGTACGTGAGCACAATATTCATATTGTCAGAGGATACGGATCCACATATGCGTGCGAAGTAAATAATAATTTTGAAACTTTAGAGAACCGGTGGCTCTCCCGAGGCAAGGCTTTGATGTGTCGTTGGTTTCATTCGCGCAACGACGATCCCTATCCGACGACTATCGCGAACTTAGACTATTTACGGTGCACTAAGAAGTTTATTTGGTCTTTTAGTTGCGTAAAAAATATTAACAAAGAGTCTCTAGATTAAAATAATGTTCCCTATACTTTGACTAAAAATTTAGTGATACGTACAAATAGATGTACGATAGTTTCTATTTATGAAAGATTAATTAAATATCTCTTTATATATGAGAATCATGTTGATTAAACAATAAAATTTGAATTTTAAATTTGTTATGTTGTGCCTTAAAAAAAAAAAAAAAAAAAAAAAAATCCGATTTTATGCGAAAACTAGTAGGCGAGACCGGGGCTGGTAGACCAATTTTTCAGTATTTTATTTTAATTAAAATACATGAAAGAAATATTATTGTAGCGATTATTGTCTTCGGTAAAACGTATACTCGGCTGTCGGATTAAATTCTTAAAGTTAGCTTAATTTGATGATAATTAATATATTTGAATATTGTTTTCATACCTTTCACGCTTTTTTACGCAACCTCATGATCGAGGTTGGTTGACTTACAATATAGGGCAGGTTGACAATAGAAATGCAATCAATTGGGAATATGTTATTTGCAGCTTAACCCAACGGTAATAAAATAGTACAATATTAAAGAAGTTGTTTTATTATAAAGTATTAATTATTTCTGACAACATAAACCATATTTTAAAATTGAATGTCAATTATATGAATGAACTAAACAAATTTTTTAACAAATAAAAAATAAGTCCGTGTTTATAATAAAAAAATAAAATAATCTTTTTAAATAGTAATATTACATTCTCCCTTATAACAAATAAGTCTAATTTTGTCATTATATTGTAATACCTCAAACGTAGTTAAACAAACCCCGAATGGCTATTCTTATTTCAATCCTTTATCTAACTTTTAAATATTTATAGATCTAAACAAAAATGGTCCCAATTGCTTGTCTAATAAACAAATTCTAAAATAGTGATATGACACTTATTCTTTTGTAGCTATATAAAACGTGAAAACAAAAAATCTCTAAAAAAAAATATTTACTTACGTAGTCAATTTTTCGATATACTTCTATCACTCTATAATGACATGCGACCGTGGCATCGCATCTGGCATAATTGAAGGGGGAGGAATGCTTGCTTCTACAGTGAATTTTGGCGTGATCGAGCGCGCATTCGTACAAAGTTATTGACGGTTAGTCTACCAACCCCTATGGGCAACCAGCCCCGGCTTCCCCTATATATGACAAATTTTGAATTACAACTTATATATATAATCAAATCGCACTTTACATTTTTTTTTAAATAATATATCTTGACATGATATTGTAATTTATATTTTTCGCGTAACGGAACGCTTTATATTTCTAGTTTTAATATCATTCAAGCACTCTCGAATACTTATTTCGTATTCACTGTAAAAAGAAATTGACTTGAAGCTATCAGGTACGCGTGAAGCCATGACAAGATGCAATCCAATTGTACCCGGTGACATTCAATATGTTCCGAATCACGAAGCGACCTGCCGACTTCCGTGTCCCATTCGCAGCTACGGGACGACTAATTATCGACGCGTCGCCGATGTCGATCGGCAGGTATAGAAAGCGAACGGAGGAGTGCGAATCTACCTATATATGTGCCCGGGTGTCACGGTTGTATGCGTCGCGACGATTGTAATATTTGCGCGAATGGTACGAGAACAGTTTTCTCTGTTTCTTTCGACGTAGCAGATAATCTGGAAATACCTTCTACTAGCGATGGTTTTGTCGCAAAACGTTTTATTATACGTTCTATAAATTATAGATAATCAAATTATAGATATACAAATAATATTCTTCGGACTTGTGTGTAAAATAAAAATCGCTAATTCGATAACTAATGCCATCTTTTTTTGGTATTTCATGCGTTATAGATTGTAATGCACCTAGTTCGAA